TGTTAACTCTGTTATCATTTGTATCATAGCTAGCCTAATCCCTAAACCCTAAACCCTAAACCCTAAACCCTGATATGAGTTAACTCTGATATGCGCTATTGAAAAGATGAGCAATGACATAGTAGACACTGAAGAAGATGAAAACACAAATGAGTTTTAGATTCTAACTGATGAGGAAGAAATACACGTAGCTTTAGTTGAGACCATGAGAGAGGCTCTAATAGTATTAGCATTGGTGGTCCAAGATGGTCCTAAGTTCGAGAAACCTACACCAGACACATGGTAATCTCAAATAAATAAATTTCATACTTTTTCAGATAGATAATGTACTTCTTAAGTTACCCCTCCTAAAGGAGATATAACTTGTTAGAGCTGAGACTTTTTTGTCATTTCTGGAAGACTGAAGTTATTTGGGTATTAGAATCAATTCAGCAATATTCCCACTGATGGATGAACCTCAACATTGGAATTTGTCTTAAGATATTTGAGGACAAGAACATCCTACAGTGGGATCTAGGTCCTTTCCAAGAAGAATAATAGGCCTCTTCTGAGTGGTTATACTTCAGTGTGTTCCAACATGCAACAAATTCCAGTCTAGAGTTAGTTCCTCTATATGAAGTTGTTTATCGAGTGTGCTCAGTTGAGTATGAGAAGTGGAAGAAACAAAGTAAATATTTAATGGCTCAAGAGTTACTTTGTGAAATTTTACATTGATATGCAGCTCCAGCTCAGATTGTACCATAAGGGATGAGTATTTATTCTATTCGGATGTGTTTTAGAATGACAATGCCTACAAGATTTACATATAAGGAGATTATGCCATTTCCACTATCTTCAACTCGATCAATTTGATGCCATAACAAGGGGAGATAGAAGCTTCTACGGATGAGATCGCTGCTTTTTCTATCCCCGGGAGACTAACACTGGACGAAACACACTACCACGATCGTCTTGTGATTCGTGAAGTCCTGCGATGGAGAGTGGCTCCCTTTTTCATACCTATACCAAATTGTTCCATGTTTTTCTCATGCTATTGAGTCGGTCGGTTATCATGAGCCACCCATAGTTATCCTATTTATATATATTTATGTTTTTGATGTTTTAGGGTTAGTATATGCCTTTGCTTATGTCGAGGCAGCCGCCAACGTTTCTTTCCCTTTTTAAGGGCTGTATTTGATGGTTTGAGTGGAGCTCCAGCTGTATCTCGCTCCTGAGATAATAATTATATTCTCTATCTTTGGTACTAGTCACATTAATTATTGACCATTTTATGACCTAGTTAGGAGAGTAGTTGTTTTATATTTGAATTATGTTAAGAAAGGTGGAGATGACCTAAATAAACTTAGGCAGGTTGTATAAAAAGGATCTTAATTTATTAGAATTAAATAATATTATGACACTCAATAAGACAAAGAAGAAAAATGATTCATGTAGCCAACCCCACTTAGTGGATAAAGGCTTGTCATTGTTGTTGTTGACGCTGTTCCTTGAAGCTTGATCTTGTAACGGTGGATGGGTTCACTTTAAGGTAATTGGGTCACCGACTTCACTTAAGTTTTTAATATACTTTAGGATATCTTTATTGTTGATTTGCAATTTTAAGCTTGATTTGAAGCAATTTAGCTCACTCTAACTCTAAAATAAAATTATTAGCCCTCCCCACCTCCCTCCTCAAAAAGATACTTTGTTCTCAAGTTGGGAAAAAAATGAAACTATTTCTCTTTTGCCACCATAACTGTATCTATTTATTCATTCTTTGCTTCATCGTCTCGCACTTTGAGAACTTGTAATCTTCGATCGTTGCCACTGTATCATAGGATAAACTTCACTAACACCAATATCCCCATGGCTTTCTTATCTCGAATCTTTCTCTGTAAGACGCTCCGGTCAGGTTTCAATATTCGTGTCTCGTGCAACGTCCCTTTGGGCTTCAACTGTCTGAACTTTTGGCATCGTCGTGGTTGCAGCAGTTTCGTACGATGCTTCATCTGTGTTGTTTCTGTTGACTTTTTTCATTTGGTTTTTATCTTCAACCATCTGGCTTGCTCCATCATTTCCCTCAAACCCCACTGTCTTAGTAGTCAGAATGTTGGTTGTATGTCGAGCTTTAAACCCTTCATGAAATTGCCCTCCAATCCTGCTTTGAAAATCTCCCACAATCGTCCCGACTATAGTTTAAATCTCTCCTTATATTCCATGACCGTCCCCTTCTATGTTAAGACATAGAATTGCTTGTTTGTCTCCTTCCTGAAGAGCTCGAAAATGTTCCAACAAACAATCTCATAATTCAACCCACGAACGAACTGGGTATTCAACCTCCCTCCACTGAAATCAAGCTATGTTCTTCCTCTCCAAACACAATCTTGTCGCCATGAGTTTCTCATCTCTATCTAGCTTATTCACCGTGAAGTATCGCTCTGCCCGATACACCCACTTATGTATGTCTTCCCCCCTCAAAGATTGGCATCTTCAACTTCCTAACTCTAACATCTCCACCCCAACTTGCTCTTCCTCTGGTATGTCCCCCCAAGTATCTTGGGTAGAACTCTCTCCTTCGGTTATAGGCATACCCAACTCTCGATTCCCTCATTCCTCCCTCGTGTTCATCTTTGCCCCTTACACCATTCCTCCAATTTTAGGCCCATCCCCGTCCCTCGGAAGTCTTCAGTCCCCCTCCTCTCGGAGTCCTAGGAGGACTCTCTTGTTGGTAGATGATGTCTTCCTCTTTATCTTTTCGTTCGGTCTTCTTCCCTTTTGACCTGGCTAAAGATTCTCTAATTAACCCTTGAATAGGGTTTGCAACTGGAGCAATCGACATGGCATTGGACTGCATCTCCATGAGTTTTTTCATCATCTCCTGTATTTCTCCTGTACTCTCAAATCCATCCTCCATTCGTCTTTCTATGGACGAAAACCTGTCCTCCATGATGACAAACCTTTCTTCCATCCTCGATTTGATTTGACTTGTTTCTTCCTCTAATTTCTTCTCATTTTCTTGGTCGCTATTTCTACCAGAAAAATTTTAGATCACGCAAGAGAAATTACTTAATGATGAAATGTAATCAATGACTTCCAGGTAGCTCTTTTGGTGAATGTATCACTAGTCAGTCGATCTCGTTGATGTTTCCCAGTTACACGAGGCACTGCAGATCACGACTGTATCACATGTGAGGAAAAGAAAATTGTGAGTTTTGGGTCTCGGTAAGCTGCCTCCCCGTTTCTACCTTCCCAAATAGCTCTGATAACGAATATATCATGTAGACACACTTAAGGAAGAAAAAATGGGAGTTTTGGGTCTCTGTAAGCCGTTCCTCGCCGCTATCTTCCCCAGCTAGCTTTGTAGCGACTGGATCGCGTAGACGACACGGGAAGAGGATAGGAAAGGGAGTTTCCGGTCTGTGTTCGCCGCTTCCCAGCTGTTGCCTTCCCTGCTAGGTCTGATCGCAATCGTATCAAATAGAATGTGTTGAAGCAGGAGAGATTGTGAGTTACAGATCTTTGTACGTCGTGATTTTGTTGATGTCGTCATCACAGAAGAATATGAGATTCCTTCGTCACCTTCCCCGCAAGCTATGATCTCGGGGAGAAAAGCTGTGACTTGTCACTGTGAACCGTGATCTTGTAGTCATAGCTGCGATTGCTTTGCACGAGTATGGAGCGAAAGGAGGTGAATTTCGGTCCTAGATTTTCCGCGATTCTTCCCCACGTCGCGATCTAATGTCTTTTGTAAGTTGCAAGCCCTTTGTTGCCTTCTTTGGCGAGCCGCGAGCTCGGCGTTGCCTTCCCCCAAGCTTAAATCATGACTGTATGATGATTCCGAGCACTTCTTCCCAAAATGTTGCTCTGATACCAAGTATTTATGATTCAACATAGAAATCAGCACAATTTTTTTGTAGAAATTAGAGCAGACACAATTTTTCTGTATTAATTCATACAACTCAACAAGAATACAAATATAAACACCTACAATTCGAGAGGTAGACGTTCTCTCCGAATTCCTATAGTTTGAGAGGTAGGAAATCTCTCCCAAACCCTAGACCTATGACTCACAACTCAATTTCATGCATAAATCTAACCCTAAACATAACAAGGCTATTTATACCCAACAATAATAATAATAAACGACTAAATTGCCCTTAGACGTATAAAAGACAAATTTGCCCTTATGCTAAGTGCCCTCGGGACAGACCCACTCAAGCTTGGATATTGTAACAATTGTAATGGATTTGATCGGAGGATCCTACGAGAGCTGTTGTGAGCAGGCAGACCTTGTTTGAGTATTTTGAGAAGTTTTTCTGTTTGATTTGTATTTGAAAATCAAGCTTAATATGTTTTTGACATTTTTGTCGGGAGGCGGACAATGAGATGTCTTGTAACTGAAGCTAAAAAAATTTAGTTCTATTGTTTATATGAATAATTTATTGATTTGTGGTCACTAATTTCATTCTGGTTGAAAGTCTATGAAGGGATGAATGCTCATAATTTTTTTTTTCTAATAATAAGCAAATAAGCAATATTTATATTGTGTAATTGAAAGCGAATAATAAGGCAAATTCATCTTCATTTAATTCATCTATCTCTCCCCTTTCACCTAGAAAAGGTTTTGGATCATATTTTGTGGGAAATTTACAGCTTGTTTGAGAATATTCATTCTGGGGTACGAAAGAATATAACTCAAAAGGTTTACTGATTATAAATATATGAGCTTTGAAAGGATATGTGCTTAAGTCTAACAAAGATGTTTTGTGCCGAATAGTTTTCTGAAATCTTGATTCAAATTTCTCTACTACTGAAGTGCCATATCAGCATAAAATAAACTATCACTGCCAACTTTATCTGCCACACTGGCTTTTATGCTGGACGTATCATTATATATATATTTTAACTTTAAAGCTTTCTTAGATGTTGGACATCAATGTGACATATTAGTGCTTTTTTTTTCTTGAGCTGGACACATTCAAATCCCAATCTTCATGATGCACTTCTGCTTTCTACTGCAGGTCTCAATACTGCCTCCTTTGGGTTCAATTCTGGTCACATCTTTTGCGGCATTATTCGCTGACAACTTGATCTCCAATGGAGTTGAAACTACAATTGTAAGTAATAATATGAATGTCAATTATTTATTTCAATATCATTCGTACTTTTTTTTTCTAGAGTAACCATATTTTTTGGTTATTAGAAATTTTTTTTCTCTTGTGGTTTTAAAAATGTTTCAGGCAAAAGCTTTGGTTATTAATTTAAATACTATCCATGCAGCATGCTTTCTATGTTATGGTGCTTGGAAGGCTGATGTGCATGTCTCTAAACCACCCTGAAACTTAAATATACTACAGAATGATTATCACGCCCCTAAATGGGTCAGCTTGGTTATGAATCAGTATATGTGTAACCAATTGGAATGGACGAACTGTGTCTTGTTTTCGTAAGTTTCAAGTAGCTGTTATGTTTTTTTAATGTTACAGTGCAGCTTTGTGATGTCAATTCTTCTCTTTATATAATTTGTTTACAAGTTGGTTTTATATGCATGCATATCGTTGGCTGCAATGATATGCTAACTTTACACGCTCCAGTACAACATTGTATAGACACAAGGTTTCCACTTATCTCAAAAAAGCAGAACAATGAGAGATTTTGGAGCATGATGAATAAATGTGAAATATGATCATATTAAGAGGAAAGGGCAGGTAACAAAGATTCATGGAGTTAGGCAACTAGGCCTTTGTGGAGACATATAAAGATGAAAATATGTAGAGACGGACAGATATAGAAGGAGATGAATGTGCAATGGAATAACCAGGAGATAAAGTTGAGTGGGGAAGCGATAGATTGAAACTAAAAAAATTCTAAAAAGTTAAAACGAATGTTAGTTAAACCATTTGCATTTTCAAATGTTTTCTATAAAAAAGGTTTTGTGAATAATCTAAGCAGCATTAAGAAAATATTCTAAGGAGGGTGAGGTGGAGGGTGGTTTTGGTACGCACTATGGAGAAGTGGGATCACAGGGAATGCATGATCGCAGGTGATCGAACAAGGCCGCTTGGTTTTCCTATTCCAACCCGATTTTCCTTCTTTTCGGTTTATTTTCAATTTCTTTCTTTTTTGTTCTTTTATTTCATATTTCCTTATTTCTAATTAGATTATTTTCTAATGTGAAACTTTTATATTTTTTATATTAGGGGTTTTGATTTCCACTTTTTTTTTTTTTTTGAGTTTATGAATTTGAGAGATTTGTACCTGAAGCTGTATCTTTTCCTTTTGCAAATGGTGTGTTTGTATCTTTGCTTAAGAACATGTGGTGGAACCCCCTGGACGTCCACGACTCTCCAATTCACCGTCTGAGACTCGCCAACTTGCTGCCCAACTGGCTGTTTTCAGCCTAGCAGCAGTCCAAGCTGCTTTTTCAGCAGGGAAACACTGTTTATCACTTCTGGTTTTCTTGGTTTGCTGTCTATCCGCTCCCAGCAGATTCCAACCACAAAGAAACTCAGTCTTTTCAGCCTCGCTAACCGCCCATATTTTCATTCTTTTGTTACTCAACCATTTTC